GGAGGATTTGCCGGCGGCGATGAAGATGTATCTTCGGCACTTCTATTTGTCGAGCTATTCTTCATATGGTGCTGAAGGACTTATTCAGAATGACAGGTATTGGTGAATGCGACATAGCAAGAGATTTTTACCACAATGTGGGCACCTAAATATAAAAATTGGTGTCTTTTAAGCTAGCATCAGTTGTCTCTAGCTTTTATTTTTATCATTGGGCTTATCGGGACCGTATAATGGAGCAACTGCTGCATGTCATAAAGAGCGTCCAGTATGCAACCCGACTCATAGGTTTAAGGAATCAATTTTAGACCTCTCTGTTTTCACAGGAAAAACTACGCCATTTAAAAAACTATGTGTGGCATCGGCTATTTGACAAGGTAGCATCGCATGAGATACGGCACACATGATAGTTTGTCTATTATTCATGTTTAGTCGGAAGCACAGTGACATGTAGGTACGTGCCTGACTATAACCTATAAATTCGAAACAGTTAAGAACAACTGCAAATTTATAGTAATACACAACCACAAGTCGAATGAGAATTGATTTTGCGATTCGATTGTTCTCGAGGTATCAAAATTAGTCGGTTGACTACAAAGGCCCTTACAAAGGCAATGGGATAACGTGGAGCTCGCGCGAATGAATGATGCTGAATTCAACTTAATGGTGAGTAAGATTAAACGATCGGGTATGATCGCGAGACCAAGACCAAACATGTTTTATTTCTTTAATCGAACTACGGCTGAATGTCACAAGGATGTAGTAGCGCTGATCTATAGAGGCGTTTACCGGTTTTAAAATTCTCACTGACTGAATGAGCGTTCTATATGACCACTACAGCAAGGGCTTAATATGAAACCACTAATAAAACGCGTAGAATACACGGTACACATTTATAACTTAGTCGCTGCACTAAAGTTAGAAGTATCGCTTTAAATACCAAGGTAAACATACCTACTGTCTTCTAGATAGAAGACCTAGACATTCACATCCCGAAATCATTAATGTGGTGGAGGAAAATTCGCATTGTTGCTGATGCGATGCCGACTCTCCACTGGCGCCTAGACGACAGACTAACGGAGGGGGTACTTCTTCTCGGTGTCAATGTACACCTTCTGTACCTTGTGTAGCCGTCAGTAGGGCGGGCTGTTCTCTTTTTGGTGGACTTGATTTAATGTTAACTTTGATTGTATCTGTTACTGTGGTCGACCGTGCGGGAATCTTCCCGCGACTGATGTTTACTAGGGGGATCTATTTGAGTTGCCCGGACCTCCCTTAAGATCGGCTTTTCCGAAATGTCGATACTTTTCACGAGCGTCTGACTACTTCCTCCGTCCCGTGCTCTTGTTATTTGTCCTTTATGTTGTAGCTTCGTCCAATCACAGTGAGGAAGTTGAAAATTTCTTGCACTCCTGGCCAAAACATCTAGGAGCCCTCTTCTTTATAAACGACCGACCCCTTTTAAGACATCGGGATGACAAATGATCCTACCCGGAAAAAGCGATGCGTGTTCTTTGAAACAAATTGAACTATCTTTACAATAACGAGCAAAACAATAAAAACACGAACATCCAGTTATGTGTGACAAGATGTTCCGCCAGACGTCCTCATTTTTCTGTTGATCGCATCTTGGTATATGTGATTTATACTTGTGTCACGCAGTCTCAATTGATTGGTTTGCTAGATCATGATCATCACTGATCGTAAATCTCCATTTATGATTACAATTCACCTATTTATGGTTCTCTTTTAGATGACGATCGATGCCGATTTTCGATCACTCTTCAGATCACGGCTTCTGCGGATATTCGATAAGCCACCCTTCAGATCACGATCACGACCGATCATCAATTACATTTCAGATCGTGATCACTGCCGATATTCATGCAATAAGGCAAGTCGATAATCTTAAGGATCACATTCACTCACGATCGCCAATCACCATCTTAGATCGTCGATCGTCCTTCAGATCATGATCACCACCGATCGCCGAAAATGATTCCGAATCGCTATCAAACTTGACCGCTGGTCCAAATTTCAATCTTGACCACCAAATATTTTATCGATATTAGTATCCTGACAATCGATATTGGTATTGTGATCTTTGATCTTGATACCGTGACAATCGATCTTGACGTTGTGCAGCTTAACAGCCAACCAATCCCTCTACGCGATCTGTTGTAATTCGGGAATATTAAAATTCGCGATCACTGATTATTTATTATATTCACTTTTACAGATTGACGTCTACTTATTGGAGGATGACATTCAAGCGGGCGATGTTTACAATTTTCCTAAAGTGGGGTTGTGCAACTCGCCGGTTTGATATTACTATCATTGTGAAGCACTTTAACTTTTAAATGTAGGCTGTGATGTCTGCAATGTGATAATGTGAGGCAAAGAAGAGCCAGTTTTTAGCTTCAATGATGCCTTATAAAGAATATCTGGAGGATTATCCGTGACGGAAGAAGACGTGTGCGAGCTTGAGAACCTATCCATACCATATTAAGTCTGAATGACATTAGCGCTACGACAGCAGTACGGGTATCGATCCAAGAGGCATCATGAATCGCTGCTTAAGCCGCCATCATACTGCCGCGGCAGATTAAGGCAGTAGGAAAAGCTCAAGTGAACGTGCTACTCATCTCTCTTAAAACCAATAGAGCACCACAAGCTTATCAAAGCAAGAAATTGAATTCAAAGCTACAACCTAATCCGATGGAGAAACAACCTTTGTTAATTTGTCGTTGTTTAAAGGGTCGCTCTAAAATTGACCTCCCGCACACAATTTCTACCAGGCCTAGCACTGTAGTAATAAGTAATCATGGCATGACGGAGGATGAGGTGAAGCAGCAAGCAGAGAATAGATAAAAATATTAGCTTTAGGATACAAACAAAATCCTTCCGTTCAGCTATTGAACAGTGGAAGCCATAGAGGATAAAAAAGAGGAATTTTTCTTGCGCATCATTATTACTTCAAACTTTTCACACCGAAATTGTCGGTCAATATATAAAATCTGCTTCAGTTTCGCCGGTACTGGCCATAAAGACTCTTTAGAGTAACGAAATAAAACGTTAACTTTAGTTGGTCAAGGATGTGAAAGTAGCAAACTGTATAAAATTGCCGATAGGATCCCAGTTAGTAAATTTACCGGCAAAATGGCCAAGATGAAACAGCAACCTAGTTTCAGGTGACAGTAACACCAGTACCCGGGAACTGTTTTGACGTGACTATTGATCATGTGGCAGTGGGGGCCAATCAAGAAATTCAGGAAGGTCGTTAAAAGCTACACAGGGATGTCTAAATCGCGGTATTAGGTTTACGGGCTGATCGGATTTAAAAGACAAGATGACACACGATCAACAAGTTCATCTTTTGAACAATGTCCGTCGGGGTGGACGGAAATGACACGCACTGATCCGCAGTAGCAGACACGTTTGTACTTTGAATTTTGTGGAAAAACATTTGGTTAGAACGGACACAGTGTCCGTAGATACGTAAGGTGGCAGCAAAACAGTAAGCGAAGCATCCAAATTCTTGAAAAGTTGTATCGTTTGATGCAGCTTATCGACGGCGAATCGCAGGAATTAAGGTGAGGTAGTATGTTTAAACAACAGTCTTTTGTCACCACAGAGTAGTCAAGACAGCGGCGGAGTATACGCAGTCGATCGTTAGTGGCAACTCTTACTGATGTATTTCCAGCGCCGTTATTGAAATTGTCTGCACTCTGGGAACACCAGCCAGCCCGTTCTTAAGTTCGAAATGAAGGAGAAAATGCAAGCGACATTCGCACAGGACATACAAGACCCAATTTACGGTGCTACCGAGGTCTTTGCGGAGTACTTAGACGAACAGCCGTTTAAACAAATGTGTTGTTCTTTATCTGATACCCCTTAGATTTGTTCAAAAATATTTCCGACGCTGGTGGCAGATACAAATCGGAAGGAAAATAGCCGCACACTTGTTGTATTGGAGCAAACAACAAGTTACACTGCCGAGACTTCTACCGACCGCCCCGCCTCTGGACCAGAAACGAAGACATGAGTCTTCATCCTAGCAATGGTAGATGTGGAAGGCTCAAGAATCACAACTTCCCGAAACAACTGATTCAAAGCGGTGCCGTGCAGAGCCGATGCTGTTGATTTTGCAAGCATCTAATTCGAGTTTCAATTGCGTCGATCGTGATGAATAAGCTGCAACATGGGAGCATCTTGTACCGGCTTCGCTCTAATTCTAAGCGTCCTGTTTTTATGCCAACGGTTCAACAGTATAGTAGGTTAGTACTGTTAAACGTTCAGTCTTTGCTGGTTGTTGGTGTGAGGTAAATTGCAAAGTGAATATATTTAGGTCCTTAGTTCGCAAATTCTTCTTGCTACTCCATGCCTAATGAATTAATTGACTATTTAATCGTAATCGACACGACGTGCATTACTCATTGGATAGTCGTACAAAAGTAATCAACTCTATATCATCACTCATAGGATAGTCGGTCATGAGTAATCACCTCCATGCCATTACTCATTCGATTGTCGTGTGTGAGTAACCACGAGTAATCTGTTACTCATGTTACCCATGGGATGAACGCATTACTGATCGCCGGACTGTACCTTTAGCTTGTCGCTTGCTGTCCGAGTTGTTTCCTTTACAACACACCCACTCGTCTCGGCAGCCCCTTGGATCCCCAGTTTGTTGCGAATCTTGGTGAATTGATCCGCGGGGTTAGCCTTCGTTATGATGTCTACCATCATATCTTGTGTCGGACAGTACAGTCTTCCCTCTGCTAAGTTATCCCCGGCTACGGAATAACCTCCTGTAAGTTATAGGATTCGGTCTCCACCGACCTCGTTCTATGGTGACTACGGAATAAGTTATACGGAATAGCCTGAGGGCCAAATACAACTTATCAGAGGGAACATTTTTGTCCGCCGTGAGCAGAAACATTGTACGCAGAACCTTTTTTTTGTTATTCACTGCAAGAAAGGAGTGGAAAGAGGAGAGGGAACTACTTCAGCCAGGAATCAAGTGTGGCCTGAGTGGTGCTCGCACTACGGAGATCAGCTTGGACTTGGCGAAGGGTCCGGTGAGCTATACGATGGGACTCCTGAGAAAGGTCGAGAAGGGCGATGGATAGACTAAGGCTGGCAAGCTTTTCAGCCTTCGAATGCTTTTCCACCTCCTCCTCCGCCTCAGCAGCACCTTCCTCCTCCCCATACGGATCCTCAACAAGCTTGATGATTTCGGCATCGGTCAGCTCCGCATGCGCCGTCTCCTCCTCCTCAGCCGGATTGAGAAGAGAAGCGATCGACATGGGATTGCGGAGCGGGAGCCTTTCCAGCGCCGAAACAAGATCCTGTTCCACGCGCTGCTCCTCTACTGCAGCAGCTGCTGCCTCCCTGCTGGGCCTGCTGGCCAACAGTGCCGGCTTCGTTTTCACCCCCCACCAGTCGGCAGAGCCGGACCGTCCATGAGTCCCGTATGACGGAAGCAGTTGGCGATTGTGGCACTGGAAATCTCGCTCCACGCAGCCAGCGACCAACGCATGGCCGTGAGCTGATCAACCTTGTAAAGGTTGGTTTCTCCGCGCTCGTCACGGTCCAAGGAATTCTGCAGATGCAGCCGGCGGTAGTGCCTCTTGAATGCGGCAATAATCCCAGCATCCATGGGTTGGACCTTTGAAGTCGTATTAGGAGGAAGAACCTGGACCGTGATGTTGGTGAGTTCCAGGTCAGCAACAATGTGTGAAGGAGCGTTGTCCATGAGAAGCAGGATTTTTCTATCCTTTTGCTGTGGTCAACGCGTTAGTCAAACCTCCTTTACTGTACCACAACGATGATGTTCAAGGCATGCCCCAAATTACCTTCATACTTTTGTCGACGTCTCCCAGCCATTCCTGGAAGAGTATGCCAGTCATCCAGGCTTTCTTGTTGTTGCGGTAGAGAAAGCCCAGTCGCTCAGCTGTCTTGTGCTCAAAACACCGCGGCTTTTTGGCGTGTCCAATGAAGAACGGCGGGAGTTTGTCGGATCCATCAGCGTTTGCCGTGAGAGCAACTGTGATGCGCGTCTAGAATAGTTGTAGTGTCAGAGAGACGCAGGAAACCAAGAGGAGAGCAATAATGTACCTTGTCTTTTTTAAACCCTTCGACCTCTTTCTGGGCGATCGTTTTATCGGGCGTCATACTGTAGAACAAACCTGAACAGAAAGTGAGCCTTTGAGACGCTTCTGTACTGTACAATGAGTATAGTACTGTACTATATTCTCAGACCTACCAGTTTCGTCCATGTTGTACACGTCACATGGCGCATAACCAGCAACCACGGCCTTGAGGTGTGGAAGAGCCTCCTCTAGAGCGCCCATATCTGCTGAGCCACTCTCGCCATGAATGCGGACAGCTCGCAGTTTGTGGCGTTGCTGGAATTTGTGGAGCCACCCATGCGAAAAGCTGATGTTTTCCTCCGAGACGCCCATTGATCCCGCAAAGGTCTGAGCCTTGGCCCGTATGAGATCTCCAGTGAGAGCGACCCCACGGTGCTGGCACTGCAAGACCCAGAAGGCGACGGCCTCCTCCACAGCTGGGTGCTGGACAGTCCGAGGACGCTTGGCGCTGAGGTCAGTGGTGTCCATTGCCTCAAGCTCCTTCCTTTTTTTGATGATTTTGCTGATCACTGCCTGGGAAAGTGCCTTCTGGAGGTCAAAGGCGTCCTTTGTCCAAGCCGCCAGGGCAGTCTGGGTGATGCGCGGGTTAGCATCCTGGTGCTTGCAGATGCGCAGCTTCTGCTCGTTGGTAAGACGTATCTGCGACATCTGTTGTGAGTGAGCAAGGTACAGTTGGTGGAACTTCTTAATTAGAGATAGCAAAATCACCAGAGACTGGTGGGGCAACCAAAATCACAAAATCTTCATAGGGCACGTGACACGTGACAGACAGGTTTTGGAAGCCTGGAGGTTTGTTGCGTTTTTGATTCTTTAATTAATTAAATTAATAATTTTTCCGCAGCATACCTCTGCTATGGAATAACCTCTGCTATGTTATAGGATTTGCCTTCCACCAAGTCTATAACTTAGCAGAGGGAAGACTGTACCCCAGTACTGTGTCCGTGTGAAACCTTTTCAAGCACGAAGTGATAGCGTATGTCGATATGCTTGGGGTGCCCTTGGAAAGCTCCGATTTTTTCGCCAGTGCGATCGATTCTTAGATATCTTCGAAGGCCGATTTCGCCAAGCTTGCTCGCGAAAGTCTTCAGCCAAATTGCCTCCATGGTTGCCTCGGAAAATAGACAGGTATTCAGCCTCTGTCGATGAAAACGCAGCCGATCGTTGCTTTTGTAAACGCCAACTTACGCAACCGCCGTTGAGCACGAAGACGTAGCCACTTGTGCTGCGACGCGAATCGTGATCGCCGGCCTGATTGGCATTAGAACAACCGTGTAGTCTGCCTTCTTGAGCATCATCGTAGAACTTGTGTTTGCCAAACACAAGTTCAAGTGATGGAGTCAAATGTAAATACCGAAGCGCGCGCTTAGTGCTTGCCAGTGTGTCGGACATCAATCGGATGCAAAGTGGCTTAAACTCCTTATGCAGCTGAGAGATCGAGTCGAGTCGCTACCATGAAATACAATAAGCACCCAACTGCTTGGCGGTATGGTAAATTAATTATTGACTCTTTGTATTGCATCCGCCGTCATGCATCGACGTTGTAATATACAGACCTTGATTTTGCGGTGTCTTTACGGGCTTATAGATTTGCATCCCGAATTTGGTCAAGATCCACTGCAAAACTTTGATGGCCGAACATGCCATGTGCCAGCACCGAATCTACAGTCAATTTTTCCATAATGAGGCAAAATATGAGCCTGCCCAAAGCCAACATCCCGGAACGCTTGTTGTGCGCGTTCTTGATTGTCAAACAAAATTACTGTCGAGTTGCATTAAATCGTCGAAGTAGAGTACGACAAACGTCTATTTACCTTTGATGCCTTCATTGACTTCGCGCATGACGTAAACACAATGGTTGGATTTGTATTGGTCCAAAATAGACTAATCATGAATTCATCGATTTTCTTGTTCCACATGCGCGGTGACTCCTTCAATTCGTATAGTGACTTCTTCAGCTTGCCAACAAAGTCGGCCAGACTTCTTGTATCTATATATCCATCGGGTTGCGACATGTAGATATCTTCGTCCAAGTTGCCGTTGAGAAACGCGGTCTTGACGTCCATCTGATGCGCATACAAGTCGTACTTGGCGGTGAGTGCAAGTAAAAACGAATTAAGGTAAACTTATTGACTGGCGCAAATGTTTCATCGTAGTCGATGCTGTACTGCTGTGAGAATCCCTCCGCCAAAAGTCGAGCATTGTGTCGTTTAACTTATCCTTGCTGATTTTACTTGATCTTGAGAACCCACTTACAGCCAATCGTTTTGTGACCATGAGGCAATGGCACGATGTCCCAAGTTCGGGTACGACACGTTGTTTATCAACGTGTCGTACCCGAAGTACACTCTTCACGCCACTTGCTCTCGTCGTCGGTTTTCAATGCAGACGCAAAGGTTTTCCGCAAGTCTCCCACTTAATGAACGACGTGAGTAGAGTGCGGCGCCGACAGTTCGTCGAACGACAACGTCTCTAAGTGTTTTGCAGCAGACCAGCATTTCGAACGCATAGTTTCGTTTACCTGATCGAGCGACTGTGATGGACTGTGACATTTGGCACGCTGAGTAGTCAGTGCCGCCTAGGAAACCATCGGTGTCATTAGCCGGAATGTCGCTGTCGTCAATACAGGACTCCGAGTTATTATCGACACCTATAATTTTACGATCCTTGTCGACTGGGTCAGCGTTAACGCATTCAGGAACGACGCGCGGACCGTCATCAAACAAATTCTTACAGAATTTGGCGTCGCGGCTGACAATAACGCAGCCCGTTGAGATGTCTTCAAATCGCTATGCTTCTCGTGCTCGGAATAATTAATAAAACGGCAGCGAACAGCTCTAGCGTAGAGCTCTTGGCGTCTTGGTCTTGGCACGTGAACGTATGCGTGGCAGTTCAAAATCTTCAAGCTCGCAAGAAGTGGAGGTTTGTCATTCCAAACTTCGAACAGTGACTTGTATTCCGTGTTTGCACGACTTAAACAGCGACTGCGCAAAAATATCGCAGTCGTCAAAGCTTTGCCCCAATGCTTGGTCGACAGCTTCGCGTGCTCGAGCGTGCAACGCGCAAGCTTAACGATTGTTCACTTCATGCGGTCGGCAAACTCCGTTAAGCTGCGGTGTATACGGCGGAGTAATTTGTTGAGCAATTCCATCGCAAAATTTCGACATTTCTGTCAACTTGTACTCGCCAACGTTGTCGCTGAGCAAGACTTTGACGCTAAGACTTAAACGCTAAGACTAGTTTTATTTGGACCACTTGGCGCAAAGCGCCAAATTGGCGACATCTTCGGAAACTGTTCGCCACCAAGATAAAACTGTGTAGTAAGAACTGTCGTCGATGAAAGTCACATAGAATCTCTTGTCGCTGAAATTTGCTGTCTGTGTAGGACTGCAAATGTCGCTATGCACAACATTAAGGAGGCTAGTATAGCGCGCAGTTGTTGAGTCTTGGAATGTAGATCGCGGCCGTTTTCCGACAGCACATCCGTCGCAAAGCTCTTACTTTGTACGGAAACGATGCTAATCCCGATTCCGAGCTTGTTCTTCACGATCATGTCAAGTCCACTATGTCCAATTTAACCGAGTCGAAGGTGCCGTGGGAATACTTTACTTTGA